GAGAGAGAGAGAGAGAGAGAGAGAGAGAGAGAGAGAGAGAGAGAGAGAGAGAGAGAGAGAGAGAGAGAGAGAGATGGTAGTGGAGAAGGAAGCTGTAGAGCATGGAGGCGACAGCACACAGCATCCGCTATCATGAATTGCAACGAGCGCGTCTTACGGCTTTCTGAGGTTGGACAATGGTGTGGCGAGGCCCTATCATTCATGAAATACTCAAAAACTCACAAGTGCAGAATGAAAACCAAAACAGACTACAAGCTGGGGTATAACCCCAGCAGACCGACTGGTATGGACATCAGATCGCAACGAAATAATAAACGGCCTGTGAGATCAGGCCAGCCGCCTAGTCCCGCAGGCTAAACAGGCACATGGTCAAACAGGCCCCAGCTAAAGGAGAGGGGGGGTAGGAAATAGTAACGCTGCACCACCTACAGATCGGAGTCATCAAATAGCATGGGCCCCACTGTTGGAGGATGCTCACATCATCTCCAAGCATCGGCTTCCCAATAGTACCAATACGTGTCATTGGGAAAAAAACCGAATGCAGAAAACAGAAACCTGCAAGAACCACAAGACAGCAAGCCACAATAGTCCCCCGCAATCGGCCGACAGTTTCTAATTTCAGTTTTGTCCCCTTCTTATAAAGGAGAGTTGTGACGCCTTGGACTGAATGGCCTCCTAGCATGCCTTCTTCATAAACCGATTTCACAAAAGTCATAATATCAATGCGAAACAGCTCCCAAAAGTGTAGCAGGCAAACCACATTAGGAAAGGCATCCAAACCTGGTGTCTTTTTCCTTTTTTTTTTACATCGTTCATGTCTTGTAAGTTCAACAAGTATCATTGCGAAGTTAAAAGATTGGGGCGTGGCGCCCTCCCCCCCCCCGAAAAAAAAGGATCTATTGGGAAGCTAAAAGGCATTCCAGTGTATCCGTCCGCTCCGAGAGACTATGTTTGTGTGCCCCACAAATCTCAAGAACCAAGATGCTGTGTAACTGGGCGTTCATTGAACGCGGGTTTTCTCTCAATTTTTGAACGGAATGAACGCGACCGAACGCAGCGTTCACTTCTGCGGTTCGAACAATTAAAAAAAAAAAAACAAAAAAAAACACAGAATGCGGCGTACAGCAT